TTAATACATATGCAAACTTTACCCCTATACCCATAAATATATACTTATTGTTAATGCATATACACCTATAAACGTAATACATATATACAATATACAAAAACCATCTATAAGAGAAGAGAAATTTCTCCTTGGGAGATGCGATACTCCGATAACTCTTCGTTTTAACGAGGATATTTTCCAACGCGGTATTACACAGCGGCAGTTTATTTTAATACGGACACCTCGTAATAATTCTCGAATGTTGTTTGTGAAACGAAACAAGAAGAAGAATAATAAGAAAATGAAACCAAAAAGAAAAAATTAACAGGAAGAAAGATAGATAGATAGATAGATAGATAGATAGATAGATAGATAGATAGATAGAAAGTAAGTAAGAAAGAAGGAAGAAAGGAAGGAAGGAAAGAAAGAAAGAAAGAACTGGACATCAATCCTTGCCCTCGTTACTTTCGATGCTTCAGGCAAAGATTCTCTTGTTATCCCTTCTCCCTTCTTCTTCTTCTTCTCTTTCTTTCTCTCCCTCCTCACTCCCCTAAAGCCGCCTCTTACCATCCCCCTTCTTTTACTCTCATGGAGATTCGCGGTATCTCATGGGGCGCATGCCAATGTCGGCGCATAATTACCGGTTTCGATTACCGGATCGGACAACGAACGCACGAACGCATATTTTCCATGGACTCACTAAAGTCCTACCTATTTATATATTTATATATATATAGATATATATATATATATGATATCCTTACGTGTATATATAACACTCCCACATAGACACCTCTTCTAGTTCTTTTTCTTTTTTATTTTCTATACACGCACACACTTGTTTTATCTGTCCTTCTTACTCTCTTTTTAACTCCTTCCTTCTCTCTCTCTCTCTCTCTCTCTGTTTTTTATTTTTCTTTTTTGAAAAACAACTCTCTTTCTCACTTTTCGTTTTCTTCTTATTATTAATCCTTTTTTCTTACTCTTCTATGTATCTACCCCATCCCCCTTCTTCTCTTTTCTTTTTGTTCCCCCATTTGTTCTCTCTCTCTCTCTCTCTCTCTCTCATATTTTTCTTCTCTTTCTTCGTTTTTCTTCAGAGAAGAGACAATTTCGTTCGGTCATCGGAGTAACGTCGTCGCTTCTGTAATTCGATCAACGACAGTCTTTCTCGAGTTTCTTACAAAAGAAAGCAAGCTCTTCTTCCCTCCCCCTCCCTCTCCCCTATTCCCCCCTCCACCCTACCAATCTCTTTTAGCTTCGATATCATAAGAAGATAATAACATCCTATAGTCTTTTCTATGTTGGCCCATTCATCGATCGATTCATTATTTTTTCCAAAATTAATTATTGTCTTTTAATTTTATATAAAATTTTAATAAGATAATTTAAATGTTTTTATCAATATATTATATATCTTATATTCTTATAAAATAATTTCTTATTATTAAAAAGGTAATATTAAAAAGATATATATATAATATAATATTAAAAAGATATATATATATATATATTTGTGTATGTAGTTCACAGTATTACTAATACCAGTTTTGAATGAGATAAGAGTTAAAAATGTATACTGACTCAGTAATAAGTTCTCATATTAATCGAGAGAAAAAATATAGGAAATCGTCGCATTTGGTCGCAATAAGCTTTTCTTTGTATAAACGTGTATACATACATATGTATATGTGTGTATAAGTGTTATACACAGATTGTAGTAAACGACGAACGGAATTTGCTGCAAAGCTCCCCGTCGCGTTGAACGATAATCTCGAATATAAATCGTACCACCCCGTTACTAATCCTAGTAATAAAAAATGTACCAGAGAGAAAGAATGATAGAGAGAGAGAGAAAGAGAGAGAGAAAAAAAGAGAAAAAGAGAGAGAGAGAGAGAGAGATGCATTTATTGGACGCACGTCCAATTCGAAATTAAAATCATAAAAAATAAAAAAAATTTTCCATTCTCGAAAACTACGTTCATACGTATTCTAATACTAATACAATTTTTATGCTTGCATTTGCCAAATAGGTATCATCTATCTAAAGCTCGTAATTTATTTAAACATTAAACATTTACGTTACTACGAAATCCGCGATTGTATGTATCGTATGTAACACGTACAGGGTCTCTCAGAAATTGTTTTTTTTTTTGCCGAGAAAAGGAAAACAAAAAATACAAATTAATTTTTTTTGTATTACCCTATAATAGTATCGAATTGAAAAATTTGTTTAAAATTATCTGACGTTACATCGATTCACAAAAAATAATTATTACATTACGTTAACGCGTAACCAAATTTATGATTTCATATTTTTAAATCGTATATACAATGTGGAATATTGTTTATAACGTAAAAAAAAAATCATTTATTTTCATGATACAAATCTTTGGGTAGTATATTGTTTAAATAATAATACGGGTCAAAGATGCAATTATTTCAAATATCTGACAGTTAGAAAATTTGCAATTAATTTTTTTTGTTACTTCGATAGATATACTTTTGAGACAACCTGTATATATTGCAAGTGTATCGATCATCGAAGAAGGGTCAGAACGTATTCGGTAGCAAACTATCGATCATCGGTATTATCGATCGATCATTTTGCCGTTCGTTCATTCGTTCGATCGGGTATGAGCCTTTTACTTTTGGCATGTACATAATAATATGTGCAACGCGTTTGAAATTCTTTTAGATTTAAAACCATCAACGTCATACCATCGTGACCGATAAGTATGAACTCGTGAATCGTTCATTTAACACATTTATCGTCATTAATGTGTATGTATATATATATATATATAT